TCAACGGTAAAGGGAAGAATTCGCAAGAACTTTGTGATTAATACATACTTGCTAGCTGATTTATAAATTAATCTAATCATTTTCGATTCAAGAGATTCCCCAGTAATGTAAAAGACCTCAAAGAAACAGAAGCGACTTAACCCTGCACAAACACTCTTTAAGAAAGAAGAGGGAAAGGGAGGTCCTGCACAGAACTTGTACGATCCTCATGAACAGTTGCCCTCAAGTCAACTCCGACTCACGAGGAGCCCATGTGTCCAGAGTAGAACTGCCCCACAGGAGCTTCGATGCCTTAATTTCCAGAAGCTGATCCCCACACCTTCGTTCTAAGGCAGCTATATGGACTCAACCCTCCAGCCTTTCAGTTAGCATCTGAACACATTAACCATTGGACCACTCAGGAACTCCTTTATCATCCTAGAGTCTCATAACTGTCACTTAAGCAAAAGAAATCTGTGTGATAATGCCATTCAAGAGAACATTCTGCATGAAGAAAGTGTTGTACCTACACTCTGCAGTAGTCGCCAGCCACGATGGTTATGGGGCACTTGAAATGGGGCGAATGAGATTAAATAACTGAGCTTTTAATCTGATTGATTTGATTTTGATTCATTACAGTTTCAATGTAAATGGCCACATGCCAATAGTGGCTACCCTATTGGATAGGGCAGCTCTGAGAAACTCCTCATTGAGTCAGAGATAGAAATGGCTCCTTAGCAAAAACAGGTCAGGGTGCCTTCACAGAATGTACAGCCATTATGTACAATATATCTAGAACATATCTATCTGTTTAATCTTCACAATGTCATTAAAAGTGGTCAGTAGCATCATCCCATTTTCTGGAAGAGAAAACTGAGGCTCATCCAGATTATCTGATGTGCCAAGACTTTACATTTTACAAGGGTCAGAGCCAGAGATTTGAATTTAGGTCTGACTCTAAAGCCCATACACTTCCCACCAAGGCTTTCCATTGACAGCATCATTCTCTCTTGTTTTCTTTCATTTCCACCCTTTCTGAACAACCCTAAAACCCAGAAGTATGTGTGTGCAGGTGTGTTTGTGTAACTGTGAGGGGCAGGTGTATCTGGGGATTACTTGAGCATTTCGCATGGATGAGGTTTTCTACACAGGTCAGCATCCTTTGGCCAACCAGCCCTATTTCCCTTTTTGTCAGAAAAAGTGGAATAGGAAGAACAGTGATACATATAGGATGCATAACTTTCTAAGGAAGAAGTGGCATATTAAATAAAGCTTTTATCCTTGGACACATTCAGCAAAGTTTCAGTACTGCAGCTTTCCTGGTCTTCTGGGACTCCCAATTCCCCAGCAGCAGAGATACACAGAAAGCCTAAGACCAGGGCCTTTGTGTCTAAGAAGACTGGCAGCAAGGGAAAGGAGAAAAATGAGGAATAGGTACCTCATTAACAGTCTGGAGATTTGAAAATATAGGTTGTAGACAGAGGCTGGTGAAAACCTTATAAATAAATAGCAATAGAACATTGATATAGTGCCTCAAGATGAGCCCCTCTGGTTGGCAGGCACGCAAAATAAGACAGGGAAAGAGCTGCCTCCTCAAAGGAGAGTAGACTTTAAAGTTACAGATGGGATAAGACTTTCAGGACCATCATTTGCTAATGTGGCATGACTCAAAATAAGAAGGAACAGCAGCAAACATCCACTACTAATCAGAATGTAGAATGTACAAAGTATGAATCTAGGAAAACTGGAAGTTTGAAAAATGAAATGAAATACATAAAGATTGATAATCTAGGCATTGTTGTTGCTATGTGCCGTCGAGCTGAACCTGACTCATAGTGACCCCTCCTTGGGTTTCCGAGGTGGTATCACTTTGGAAGTAGATTGCCCAACCTTCCTTCCGAGGAGTGGCTACTGGGTTTGAACCACCAGCTTTCCGGTTAGCAGTCAAGTGCCTTTGGCACTATGCTATCAGAGCTCCTAACCTAGGCATTAGTGAGCTGAAATGGACTGGTATTGGCATGGTTTAAAATCAGGAAAGGTGTGTGTCAGGGTTGTATCCTTTCACCATATTTATTCAATCTGTATGCTGAACAAATAATTTGAGAAGCTGGACTATATGAAGAAGAATGCGGCATCAGGATGGGAGGAAGACTCAGTAACAACCTGTAACATGGAGATGACACACCTTGCTTGCTGAAAGTGAAGAAGACTTGAAGCACTTACTGATGAAGGTCAAAAACTATGGCCTTCAGTATAGATTATACATCAACATAAAGAAAACAAAAATTCTCACAACTGGACCAATAGGCAACATCATGATAATGCAGAAGAGATTGAAGTGTCGAGGATTTCATTTTACTTCAACCCACAATTAATGCCCATTGTGGCAGCAGTCAAGAAATCAAATGATGGGTTGCATTGGGCAAATCTGATGGGAAAGACCTCTTTAAAGTGTTAGAAAGCAAAGATATGACTTTGAGGATTAAGGTGTGCCTGACCCAACCCAGGTATTTTCAATTGCCTCATATGCATATGAAAGCTGGACAAAGAATAAGGAAAACTGCAGAAGAATTGATGCCTCTGAATTATAGTCTTTGTGAAGAATACTGAATATACCTTGGTCTACCAGAAGAAGAAACAAATCTGTCTTAGAAGAAGTAGTCAGAATGCTTCTTAGAAAGGAGGATCGCAGAGACTTGATCTCATGTACTTTGGACTTATTATCAGGAGGGACTGGCTCCTGGAGAAGGACATCACTCTTGGTAAAGTGGAGTGGAGGGGTCAGCAACAAAGAGGAAGACCGTTAACAAGACAGAGTGACACAGTGGCTACAACCATTAGCTCACAAAAGGCAACAATCGAGAGGATGGTGAGGAACTGAGCAACGCTTTGTTTTGTCGTACATAGGGTTACTATGAGTTGGAACTACCTCTATGGTATCTAATGAAAACAACAGCAGCTTCTTGGAAGGGCTTTGTGGAGTGGTGGAATGCTGCTATGGTATTAAGATTTCAGGAGCAAGCTGTCAAGCATTCTTATGTCATTATTTTTTTAAAAAAAATTTCACTATGCCTGGCAATAAACTTGATAAGATCAATAAAACTTTTTTTTTTTTTTTTGCTATCTAATTTGTCTCTTTCATCTGCTGGAAGGTTAACTGAGGCTTTCATCTTTGGTATTGTAATCCTATCATGCAATTCAAGTGACTTTTAGGGAAAAAACTCCTTTCCCTAACAAAATGTTTAGCCGGAATCTAGAAGTTTTGAAGTTCAAATGACGCCACATGCTAATAACTCTAAAAATAGTTCATCCTAGAGAAACTCTTGGGGTCCTGGGAAGGATTCTATGGGTAACTGACTGTGGGCATAGCAGTCACACACGTCCATGGAGACATTTAGTGTAATTCCTCCATCCTCAGGAACCTTGTTTTGTGGCTGATTTTTACCGCAATCTCATACAACAAAACTATGGGGCACCTAATAATACTAACAGCTGGTGTTGTGGCTGCAACAAGAAAAATCAATGCATCGTTTGTTCTCATTCCCTAAGAGTCATGCCAAAATTAACATTTACAGCATCTTTAATTTCCAAACCCTCAACTAAAATATATGTTCTTGAACAATTATCAGCAATAACTCCTGACTCGCTCCCTTTCTGATAGCAGCCCCGAGTTCCCGTGCAGTTTCATTTCCATCAGTAAATTACTTACCAACCACGAGCCACAACCCCCCTCCCCCCAAAAAAAGTCTGCAAACTACAAACGTGCTCATAAGAGGTACAGGAGTTAGCTTTTGTAGTGCATTGTTTTTACCGTTTCCCTCGTAAGGAAAGCTTTACATTAAGAACTACTAGCACTACCCCGCCGGACGCTGCTCTAAGAAGCTCGCAACTCCCGGCGCCCAAGATTCAGTTCTTGGAAAAGCAGCCGTGCGAAAAGTGCCTACACTGCCATCCATCGGCCCCGAGAGAGTAGCACACCAAGTGGGGCGCTCTCTGCCGCAGCCGAGAAACAGTTGCAGCAGGCGCACGGAGCCGTCACCGGTCACAGACTCTGCGCAGCCGTAACCTCTGCGGCAGCGAGGGGCCACGAGACTCGACTCGCACCGACGAAGGGCAGTCACGAATCAGACCCGGTTTCTGCGGCCTCAGAGTGGTGCGGACTGTCCGTGGTACTCTCTCTTCCCTTTTCTCTCCCGAACTCGGGGTAACGCTGTCCCTTGTCCGACACTGGCTCGGAGCACACCAATCCCCAAGCTGCTCTGAGCCTGCGCCTCCCCGCGGCTGGCGCTCTACGAACGCTGGGGGTGCCGGGGCGGGTACGCGCCGGAGGGAAAGTTTGCGCACAGGGGACGCAGGAGTTCGCAGTACACGGCAAGTGGGAGGGTTCTGGAAAGCCAAGGCTCGGAATCCGCCAGTGATCCTGTGGTAACAATGGGTTGCGGGTGACAGAGCGCGAGTTTTGGCTCCAAGAGGTACCGAGGCAGGCGCGCACAACTGGGAAAGGGGGCTTACGTCTGGGGCTGGCAGGGCTGCTGCTGCACGATCCTTCCAGCTGTGGGGCGTCTGAGACGCTGGCGCAGGGCGGAAGCCGTGGATTCCCGAGGGGCTGCTTCTGACCGCTCCATCTGCAACCACCCCAAGCACCCGCACACCGCCCGGTCCACTTGAAGGGTAGAGGGCGCCGGGCGGAGGAGGGACTCTGCAGGAGAGTTGGCAGCGTCCCTGGCAAGGAAAGCGGGGTCTCCGGGCAGATCCGACTCGAGCGCTGAAGGAAAGCCTGCCCATGACCCCAGCAGGGACCTGGACGCAGGGCAAACCGGGTTAGAGGATCGTGCGCCCCGGGACTGGTTGCAGGGTGCTGAGCTCGGGACTGGGAAAGCCTGAGCTCACCGACGTCCAGGGAAGGAGGTGGCATCCAGGGGGAGGAGGAGGCAGAGGCGGGAGGGGTTGACCCCGAATTTATCTAGACCAAGACCCACATCCGACCTGTTGGCAGGCGGAGCGCTGTTTCTGGACCTTACCGGCTCTGGAGCCCGGCCGGAGCGGCGGTAGCGCTCTTCCGGAGCGAGGGCAGAGGACTGTTGGGTCGAGTACATGTCTCGCTTATTCTTCTGTCCACTCCTGTCTTGATCACTTTTCTCTCCTCTATGTGCCCCTGAGAGCGGCATTCCGAATGCACTTCTCACTCACAAAGCAAGAAGTTGAATTTCGAGGGACAAGGGACCCACATTTTGTCTATTCGACCCATCCCACCCGCGGACCACCTCCCCCCACTACCAACCCTCCCCTCAGCTGAGTCCCACCCATATTAAGATCCTCTACATCTCCACCTCTTTGCATCCATAGAAGTCACTCTTCTTGGGGCAGATTGAAAGCCAGCCAGACTGCTGGTTTCCCCTAAATTTACACCCCACGACAGCAGCACTAACAGGACGGAACATTTAAGTGGGCTGTGGGGAGACAGAGTGGTTGGGAGCAAAGGAGGTAGTTTTCGGCTCTCTGCATTCACCTTATCACAACCTAGGCAGTCTTCTTTTAGCCAGAGCGTCTCCCGAGCAAAAATCAAATCAACTGAGGCTCTGGAAATTAAAGGCCACGTTTGTTGTAAAAAAAAAAAAAAAAAAAAAAGACATAACCTTTCAAAGGTATTATTTATGTTAGTGTTGTTGTTGTTGTGTGCCGTGGAGTCTGCCCCGACTCATAGCGACCCCTCCTTGGGTTTCCGAGGCAGTTATCACTAGGGAAGTAGAGTGCCCAACCTTCCGTCTGAGGAGTGGCTGGTGGGTTTGAACCGCCAGTCTTCTGATTAGCAGTCAAGTGCCTCCTGTTTCATGTTTAGTGAAGCAACTGCTGTTTTGTAAGACTGCCAGAATCTTTGCCAGGGCTGCAAGGACGCGGGAGAACCTGGAACTTGCTTCCTTAAACCTAGTTGGTGATTTGCTGCTGGAGGGTATCCACAGGCTGCATTCCAGAGAGAGGGGAACCAATCTCTGCCCTCCTGCCATTCACTAAAAGCCCCTCTTCCTAAGGCAGCTCCAAGGAGAGGGCACTGAATATATTCACAGCAGTAAAGTACCATTTGAAGCCCATGACATTTGTCAAATAATTGGCAAAACATTAAAAAAAAAAAAAAAAAAACTACATTGTCTTTTTCTTAGATAAGTTTTCATGCAAATATCAGTCAGGATCTTAATGGAAATTTCCGAAATTACTCATGCTTATCAAAACAAATCCATCTCCATTTTTCTGGAAGAGGCCACAAATAGTCAACAAAATACATCACCACTCCTTAAGTATTACTGCTGAAAAATAATGGTGCACATTTGTAAAAATGGGGGATATCATTATTTTCTTTCTGGTTAAAAAAAAAAACAAAACTGCTGTGGAGTCAGATCCGACTCATAGCAACCCCTCCTTGGGTTTCTGAAGTGGCATTTCTACAGAAGTATATTGCCCAGTCTTCTGAGGAGTGGCTGGTGGGTTTGAACTGCCAGCCTTCTGGTTAGCAGTCAAATGCCTTAGGGACTACACCACTAGAGCTCCCTTTTTTTCTGATATATCAAAGTAGAAAATATTGGATATATAGAGTAGGATGAGGAGCTCTGGTAGCATAGTGCCTAAGGCACTTGACTCCTAACCAGAAGGCTGGAGCTTCAAACCCACCAGCCACTCCTTGAAAGGAAGATGGGGCAATCTACTTCCTTAGTGATACTGCCTTGGAAACTCAAGGAGGGGTCGCTATGAATCTGGTCTAACTCGATGGCACATAACAACAGAGTAGGATGACTGAAATACTGTTACTCTAACCTTAGATTTAGACTTCACAGTTAACAAAAATTAAGCTTAGTATGTGGCAGGTTTTGTACCAAGCACTTTACACGCATTCATTCAACTGCATGAGGTGGGTACTATTATCATCATCCACAGAGCTGCCACAGGTATAGAGCTGAAATAACCAGCCTAGGGTCACACAGCAAAGGGGCTGAGCTGGGATTTCCTGAAGGCAGTGTGATTTCAGGACAGTTCTTAGTGAAATCCAGCCTCACTACACATCACCACAGCAGGGACATGGGCCTGAGAACCAACAGCCTAGGGTTACCTGCTATTTCTGCCTTCAGCAAACATAGTCTTTCTGACTGCAGTTCATATAGTCTATAAAACGAGAGGTGGATTCGATCATCAGGTTTCTTCTGGCCTTCTACATCCAGGTATGAATTTCTATGTTATCTCCTTTCTCTTTCACTTACTGCCCTCTGGTGGAGGTGTTATATGAATGACGAAATTAAAATAACTAAACCAAACGGTTTGAGATAACCAGGGTTTATCAATCTCCCTCTCTCTTCCT